AAGGGTTCCTCATATAACCACTTATCAGTCCAAATTTTTGTGTCATTACCATTGCCAACGATCCAACTTACAACTTGAATCCATAAGTTATCATTTTCACTTAGCAATTTCCTTCCTAATTTTTCTAAACAAGCTTCACTCATCCAGCCCAAGTTGTTTAGGCCAAGTTCACCCCAATGTTTAGATGTGCAAACCCGGTTCCAATTGATGAGGTGGATGGGTTTCCTCTCTTTACAATTAGTCCATATGAAATTCCTTTGCTTCTTATCTAGGTCCTGTAGGACTCCTTTCAGAATTTTGAATGATCTCATGATATATTGAGGAATCATATTATTAAAAGCCTTAATGAGAGTAATTTTTCCTACAAGAGAGAGAGACAGTTTCTTTTCCATCCAGCCAATTTACTATCCATTTTCTCACACAAAAATTTAAAAGTGTCCTTATTATATTTATTGTTAAAGACTAGCGCACCCAAGTAATTCTTATTTTTAGTTTGTAAAGGAATCTTGAGAATTTTAGCCATGATTTTCTTTAATCTTGGGTGAATATTTTTTTAGAAAAGTAAGGTTGATTTGGCGAATTTTGTAGCCTTGACCCAAGGCTTTAGCAAATCTGAACATAACATTTTTTATTGTAAGGCATGCTTGGATGTCAGCCTTAGCAAATATGATACAATCATCTGTAAATTGTAGAATTGGAATGGACAGCCATTGTCTAAAGACTCAACAACCAATAGGCCTCCTAGGAACAAAAGCTTCCCTTAAAAGATTAAAAGAGAGGGCCTTCGCACAAATGACAAAAACATATGGAGACAAAGAGTCTCCTTGTCCGATTCCCCTGGAAGGAGTGATTTCTCTCAAAGGGACACCATTTATCAAAATCTGATATGTCACCATCCTATTGCACTCTATGACCCAACTAATCCAAGTACTATGGAATCCAAATCTTCTAAGGCCCTTATCGATGAAATCCTAATCAAGCCTATCATATGCTTTTTCCATGTCAATTTTACATGCCATGGTCCCTTTTTACCTTTCTTTTTCTTCATAGTATGCATAACCTCATGGGCAATGAGAACATTGTCTGTAATTTGTCTTGTTGGAAAGAATGCACTTTGAAAAGGGGAGGTTATATAATTAAGAAACGATTTATTCTATTAACCGGAATTTTTGAGATTATTTTATAAATGACATTTCACAAGCTAATGGGTCTATAATTATTTGTCGTTCCAAGGTTGGAATATTTTGGAATAAGTGTGATGAAAGTTTTGTTAATAATCTTGTTCATCTTACCAGAATGAAAGAAAGCTTTCACCACACTATAGATGGAATTTCCAATTATGGCCCAATATTTAAAAAAAAAATAAAGCATTAAACCCATTTGGACCTGGAGCCTTGAGGTCCTTCATAGAAAAAAAATTGTCTTTTATTTCTTCATTTGTCACTTCTCTAATAATGGGCAAACTTTGTTCACTGGAGATGCATGGGCTAATAACTTCTATAAACTCCTCAATATTATCTGGAGTTTCAACTTTAAACCAATTCTCAAAGTTTTCACTTAGAAAATCAGCAATGTTCTTCTGACCACAAATTCATTCTCCATCATTATTTTTTATCTTTGTAATTTTATTCTTGTTCTTCCTTATAGTGGTTGTAGTATGGAAGAAACTATTTTTTTTCTACGGAGAAGTATGGATAGGCCCAATGCAGATTTCTGATTTCCACTACAGAGCTATAAACATTCAAAATGTCAAAAAACCCCACTCTACACACCAATGCCCACCCGTGAATTGGCATCAATTCCGAGTAGGCACCCACCCCAATTGTACTTTGGGCCTAAAAATTCTGACCCTGTGCTGAACCGTCATTCTTCCTTTTTTCTATCTCCTAATTTAATCTAATTAAGTCTTGCTTTTTGGGCCCAATATGTTTCTTTTCTAGCAAGGATTGAGTTGAGATGTCTTTGAACTTCCAAATTTAATAAGGAATTATTTTGTGGATCATTCAATAAATTCAACTGGACTTCTCCCAATTGTTTCATAATTTTCTCTTTTAATTGGAAGACATTACCGAGCTTTCGCTTATTCCAATCTCTCAAATTTATGACTAGAATATTTCTTTTTTTAATAAATTAAGTGGCTTTTGATCCCTCAAAATAACAACTCATAGCTTTATGAATAACTTCCTCGAGACTTTAGTCGAGGCACCACATAGCCTTAAACCTGAAAGGGACCTAAATTCAACTTTTCATCCGTTTAGAGAAGGAGAGGAGAGTGATCCGATGCAAGGAAAGGGAGGTTTATAAGATTAGCATCTGGATGGCTCATCCTCCACGAATTATTTGAAAAGACCCAGTCAAGTCTCTCTTTGACATTACAATTTCTCCATGTAAACTGTAATCCTTGCATTTCCATCACAATTAAGTTGCATGAATTAATAAAATCATTAAAGTCCTTAGTTTGACTATTAGGAACTGTCCTACCACCCCACTTATTATCATTACTTCTAAGGGCATTAAAATCCCCCATGACACATCAAGGTTGGTCAACATTATCAAAAATATCCTTAAGCCAGGATCAAACAGTTCTTTGCTCTATACGGTTTGGCGGATAGCCAAGATTTGTTTAACACTAGATCCTCACCTAGTGCATGAATGATTCTATCATTTGAAAAGATAACATTAAGATTGTAGTGATTGTTGTTCCACAAAATCCATAAACCATCTGAAACCCAATGGATTCAACAAAAACATAATCATCAAAAGGAAAAGTTCTTAATATTTTGTTTGCACGCTCTGGATCTACTCTAGTTTCTATCAGAAAGCATAAACCAACATTGTGAGAGTTAGAAAGATCAGACTTGGCGTCTTAGGCAAGGTCCCCC